TAGGGAAGTGAATGGTGGAGCCCAATATTATTATTTTTGCAGAGTTTGACAGAAATACTAAGTCAGAGACTAATAGAAAATAATAAACAAGAATAATAAGAGCCCAGGAACAAAGTGAAGGGCAGGGAGGAGAAGACCCAAGCAAAAAGCTAAACTTACTTTCAGATAAGTACTGGTAGTTTGTTTAAAGATCTCTTTTAACATTCTAGGTTCATCTTTATGTTTATTTCTGGAAAGTGATTCATTTAGAACACTTGCAATGTTACACTACTGAGGGAGGGGCCTGTTTTCATAAGAAAAGTAATGTTGTCTTGTTCCTTGCTTCTCCCCTCCTGTAATAGAAATTTTCTTAACAATTTTGATGTAACGTCATCTGATCATATTGAGAGGAATTTTGCTCTCTTGGCCAAGGTGTAGAAGGCAGAAAGATTCTAATTGCTTTTGAAAGTGAGATGGGTAGAAGATAAATTTAATAAACAAATAAAATCAAAAAACTGAAAGCTAGTATGGACTCAAGGTATAAAGAGCTTTATAAGTAATAACCATTACTTTAAGTTCAACTCAGAAACCTCCTGGCAGTTAATGCATCTCCTGCAGTATTGGTGTTATTTTGCTATACAAGTTTTAATTAGTTTTGTACACCCTGCAAAATGGTCAAGATGAGAGTTCCTGAAACTCTTCTGAACTTATTATAGTCACTGTGAGTGCATGAAGCATGCCCGCATAAATATTAAAGCACAGTGCTGAAGAATACAATAAGACATGAGAGTCCCAAGTTATGTTCATGTAATCACCAGTAGTTGAGTTGACTACATTACTGTAGTATATTTAAGCAGAAGGTAGAGAGGCTTGATATCTGTGCTTGATAGCCAAAGAGGAAGGAAGGAATAACCAAACTGTTAATAGAAGAATTAGAAAATCTGTCTTGTGCCAATCAAGAGACAGCAGTACACTATTCTACTCTAATCCTATAGATTACTATAGAAAATTTATAGTAAAGCTCTTTCAGTCTGAATTTTCAAGCAACAAAAGGATTGGAAAAGATCATGGTAAGCCCAAGAGGACCATAAAGTCAGGTCAATGAGAGAATACCATACTGTATATCTGCATAGCATATAACTTTAGTAGGATGTAATTTATTGACTTAAACTATGCAGAGGTACAAAGAAAAACTCTTTTACAATACAATACAGAAATTATCTGTCTTTCAAAACAAAATCACATGGGTAAAATCAAGGTAGTAAGAAAGATGAAGAAATTGTTATATTGAATAGAAAATCTGCTGGCCTGAGAGAACAACTGATTTTATCCAAACTAAAGTAATTGCAACCAGTGACATATCCAGTTGGTATTCTACATCCCTTCTTCTTTAATACTGAAAAAGGGAGGATGATTCTCAA